GCGCTGTTGGTGTTATTGAGATCATCAGTGTTGTCAATTCGTCAGTTGTCTTGAGTTAGTTTTTTTTAATTGGCAGAGCTCCTGATTCACGAGATGAGACAGTGATGCTCGCAGGAGCTGTCATCATAGTTGAGGTCTTACGTGTGCCAGTATATGGCTACGAGCGTTTGCTTATACATTGTTGTGGGGGAATGTATCTGACTGAAAATGTGACTACATGGACTTCATCTCTTGATTAGTACTACGGGGAAGGAGGTACGGGATGACTTAATCTGTGGAGGAGGTCTCCTGTCTGAGGCTGTATGCTGATTGGATTACTAAGTCAGGCAAGGGGTATAGAAGGTATCAGTCTCTGCCATGTGAAGGAGGGGGCAGAGGTCAACAGAGGTGGTGTTCACTGCGCTCAAAAGGGTGTCTAAATTGTGGCGAGCAGGGGAAGGGGGGCAAGTACGGAGTGGTGCAGTTTCTCAAGGCGGTAACGTTTTTTTTTTTTTTTTTAAGCTATATTCTTCTCTCATCTATCTCATCCTCTCACTAGTGTATGTGTCGTACCGGGGAACACCAACCAACCCGGATCTCTCCCCAGCCCACAGGGTAGGTTGGCACCACAGCAGTGGTGCGAGAGCAAGGCTGTACCAGTCACCGTGTACCAGTCCCTCATCACGGTGACGAGGGGTGGGCAGGCATTGCTGATATGGGAAATCGGCGGTGCTAGCACCGCGCAATGGCCTGCACCTCCCCAGGCTCCCCCTACCCCCCCCCCCAAAACCCCACATGGCGGTGTCTAATGGCCAATATTGTCACTGCATAGCAACCAACAACATCAACCAAGGTCCTGCCAATGCTTGCTTGGGGGGCCAACGGGTTATCTCTAGCTGGTAGAACACCAAGCTTGCCCGGGCACGTACGTGAGGCCAGTGGGGATTGAACCCACGCCCTCCTGAATGCAACTTTTGTGCCTCACCAACTGAGCTAGGCCCGCAGGCCCAAGGCGGTAACGTATTCGGTAACGTATTCAGTTGGAGGAATGAAGACAAGTGCCATGTCCGGGTGATGTACTCTTGTTCTTTCCCTATTTTCGCTTGAGCCTTATATATACCCAAATTCTTCCCTCTGAATCCCTAACGGCCAGCAACAAACGAAAACAAGTAAACAACAATAAAAGAAACTAAAAACAAATAATCAATCTGAGAAATAACAGGGGGGAGGGGGAGGGGAGAGTTTGGGTCTCAACTAATTGCTGGTTTTTAAGTAGCCTTAACACAGTGTTGCTGCATGCACTAGGATGAGAGATCCTGTGTCAGGAAGCCTGCTAATAGGTTCACAATCGAACATTGGGCCTTGCAACTGTACTCACATCGACCCTCCCCACCCATCAAGGTGAATAGGTGCAGCACCGCCACTCATCCCTAAATCGGTTTGCGGCGAGTAGTGAAAAGAGGCCGATTGTGCGAGGACAACTGTGGGATGGGAGAGAGTCTTATCATTCTGACTATTGCTTCAGCTGTAACAGCCTGTCATTTGTCTTCAACATGTCATCCTCCTCTTCCTCCCTTATCATTCTACGTTCACTTTCCTAGCAGCCTGCTGCGCATGGAGGAGACTTTTCGTGGATTAATGCCTCCCTCCTTGCCCCTCAGAGTGATGATAATGAGGGCACAATCTAAGTTCCCAGTTTAATGAGTCAGCTCATTAGCTTTCACACTTCCGCTGGATGGGGTTTGTGGTGTCTCTTCACTCTGGTGGTTCTTGGTCCTGCACCATGCCTATCTGCTGATAGGCATGTAACACTTTTTTTTTCGCCCCCCAAGAAAACTCTCCGATCTATTCGTGGGGAGCAGCA